TTCCCCACGCGCGGGACCAGGACGCGCTCGGCCCAGGGCTTTATTTGTGCACGTTTATCTACAGCGGAGAGGTTCGCACCGCAGGCCCTGCTGCCCTCGGAGGGACCGCGGCGGCGGGCGTCCCGGGGCGGGACCGCGGCTCCTCGGCGGGCGCTCTCCTCCCACCGCCCCCGCTCACGCCCACGAGCACACGGGCTGCCGGTGGGACCCCGGTGGGAGCCTCGTGCGAGTGTCTTCAGGGTGTGCAGCTGTGTGTGACGGGTGTGAGTGTGCGCTGGCGTGTGCACGAGCGGTGTGCGCGCCGCCTCACACTGCGGTCCCCGGAGCCTGCTCCGCGCACAAGGACGGGTCCTTTGCAATTACCGCGGGCAATGATCCTTTGGAAGCAGAAATTAAAAGTTAGGAGGAATAATGGGGGACTGATCGGCTGTAATTTGGGCCAACCTCGGACATGCCGAGCCTCAGGGAGGTTGGGACTGGGGCAGGCAAGGCCTCCCCTCCGACAGCCCGCGCCCTCCCCCGCGTGCCGGTCCCTCCCGAGATTCTAATCAGGACCACAACACAGTGTCCTTCCTTGCCAGCACTTGATTATTCTTTATCTTTAAATTATAAATCACCTCTGGGGGAAGGAGGGTGGATAATCTCTCATCTCAGGGAGGTAATTACCTCCTTCCCGCCCCCACCTTCCTGGAGGGACTCTTAGGCGCTCTCCACCCCTCCCCCCAGCTAAGTTTGAATATAGATGTGTACACCCCATTCACACACACTCACACACGCTCATTCACCAGCACGCACCATACACAAGCGCAAATTCATTCATGAGCACCCAGGCACGCCACCTGGGGCACATGACCCACGAATGCACTCACATCCCTGCTGCCAGCCTCCCCCTCGGCGCTGGCTTTGGCGCCCCCATTCCCGGCCCTGAGCAGCCACGCTGCTCCCCCATGAGGCAAACGTGCTGGGCACCTGGGGGCAGGTCCCAGTGCCTGGCTCCGAGGGGTCTCATTGAAACACAGAGCATCACAACCCCCTCAAGCACACTCACACTTCATGCCACCAAGTATCTGTCCCTGCCGAAGGTCACCAGGTGAGGGGCAAATATGGCAACCACAGCGCCCACACCCTACTGGGTCGGCTCTCACTCCCACAATACACACAGATGCTTGCCGGTGAGATGAAGTGTGAGCTCTCTTGGCCAAACTCATTCAACATGAACACCAACACGTGTAAGATGACATTTTGTGTAATGTAGATGTGGTCTAAGGCGTGGTGGGCGTCACTAAAACACAGTCAACAGGATGATATGTAATAAGCAAAATGAAATAATACAATGTAACATACTACAACCACACGGTGTTCTCCCCCAAACACACACACACACACACACACACACACACACACACACACACGCTCAGCGGGCAGAATTTTGTCCCTGCTGAGAGGCGCGAGCTGGTTCAGGGCTGAGTGCCACTTGGAAGAAAGAGCTGTGACTGTCCTGGAGTTTGCAGGTGCCAAGGTTCCCTCCTTGGTCGCGCCCTCTGCTCTCTTCCCTGCCCTGCAACATTCGAATGCTGCAGCAGGCAGGGGAACGGCGGTCCAGCGGGGGCAGGCATGGGGCAACGGGGTGTGAGGACAGAACTCCAGGGTTACATCGAGTTGCTCTCCCGTGGGAAGGGGGTGCTGTGTACGGACAAGGCTCAGGGAGCTCATCGCACCCTCTGCTGCCCATCCCTAGCCCCATCTCTAAGGGATAACCCCAGTCAGGCAGATGCACAACACCCCTCCTCCTCTCCCAGATACCCTGAAACAACCTTTCCCTCCCCCCAACTTCCACCAGAGCGTCCGGGGCTATAAAGACGTCCTTTTGCTCCTAATCACAATTGATTGTCAATTAGACCCTCATTTGTGCAATCTTTGCCCATCTGCCATATCGGGTTATCTCCAAGCCACCAGCTTCACTTGCGGGGCCCCAGGTGGGCACTGACAGGTGAAATCAACGCCTGAGATGGGGATGCCTCTGCCTACCCAGTGGACAGAAAACACCCCTTCATTGCCAAGCCCCCACCCACTGCACATCAGTCAGGACCAAACGGGGTCATTGGCGGGCTGGGAAGAGAGGTGTCAAGACAGGAACCGACTTCGGACAAGGATAGAAGTCTGGGGGAGGAACTGGTGGGAAAAGGTCTTAGAAGTGGACCCAGAAAAAGGAGTGGGCGAGGGCTGAGATTGTGCAGAAGAGGAAGGGGTGTTTGAGGGACAGGGACAGAGGAGCCAAGCACCCAGCCCTTTCCACCCAGGGCCTGGCCCTCTCCCCAGCATCTGGGTTTGGGGAAGTTTTGTGAGACAAGAGCAGGAGGGCACTGCACCACCTCTGCCACTAACTCATCATGTGTTTATGGACCCCCGCATCAGTGTTTTCATCTGTAATTGTTGGGGTTGGATTCCATGTGACCTCTAAGGTCCTTCTATCCCCCCCTCGAAGGTCGAATGATGACAAGATCACAGCCTTCGTTGTACATGGCAGAAGGGATGGGGGTTTACCTTCTCTTGCACCTGGAAAGCTTTGTTGGACACTCTGAAAGGGAGCAGTGTTCAGGGGTCTCCAGGAGCACATGGATAAATAACCCCCACTTTGTATAATGTTTGTTTCGTACAAAGCACAGCCCACCCCAGACCCCCCAGGGTCCTCCCAACAGCGCTGTGAAATGCCCAGGGCAGGGACTACCGTCCCCATCGGCAGGTTAGAGGCAGTTCTGGGTGCTGCTGCTGACATCGTGCTGTCCCTTAACCGGCTACCTTCTTGTGCGCCTGTGGAAAAGGTGCAGGAGACAGAGGTGAAGAATGGACAGAAGGATCCTATGCTGCGCCTCTCACGTCTGCAACCCCTCTGCTCCATGGCGGTCCCTGTTGCTCACCCAGAGTTTGGAAAACGACCTTTTCTGCTTAGTGGCTTCTTCATTCACCTTCTCTCTAAGGTATACCTCCCCTGGGGTCTCCTGACTCCTCGAGAAACAGTGCCTCACACTCAGGACAGCAGAGAAGAGAGGGGATACGGGCTGCTGACTGCCCCCAGATCACTACAGCTCTGGGAACACGAGGGCCCCAGCCCCTGGCGGCCCGCACCAGAGGCGTCTTCAGGACCACGGACAGCGCACCAGCCCGGGGCTCGCAGCGCCCACTTTCAGCACCGCGGACAGCTCCACAGCCTCCGGGCGCCTCCGCTCTCTCCGTGCCACCCGGCTCCCTGACATCTGTGCCCCGTCCTTGCTTCTCTTCCCCAGACTCTGGGCTACCCCAGAGGAGGAAGAGGGCGGCAGGCAGTGTGTGTGGGATGCCTCAGCCCAGATCAGAAGCCAGACCACTCACCATGGTGAAGCCAGGGCCCAGCTAAGGGCAGGGGACTTGGACAAGGTTCGTGCTGCTGCATGAGTTCAGACGCGAAGCACATGGCGCTGAGCCTGGCTCACGGCAAGTGGTCAGCCAGCTGCAAAGGTGAGGTTTAAACCCTTTAAACTTAAAACAAAATCAACTGGAACAACTGGGAGGCTCTCAAGCTGTGGGGGCCAAGGGTGTGTGTGGGGCACCTGACTCCCACGTCAGGGCTGCAGAGGTGGCTGCCAGCTTCCTCGCTGCCTCAGAGGGCGCCCTGGCTGCAAAGGGTTTTCTGACCAGAGGGCAGGGCACAGTGGGGTCACCACCTCACAGATGAATAGACTGAGGCTGGAGAGGACGGATGACGCTCTCAAGGTCATCCAGCCAGTAAGGGGAGCTTTGATGATCTAGCCACTGCTCACCTACCCCGTGGTCACAGGCTC